CATCGATGGACAATCGCGCGGGGGTCTCCCCGCCGCCCGCCAGGGCCGCCGGAGGGGCGGCCGCCTCCACGGGGAGCCCTGGCCGCGCGCTGCTCCCCAGGGCCAGGGGGTCCTGTGGCGACAGCGAGCCCGCAGAGCCAGGGTCTAGGCCGACCCCAGCGCCCAGCCCAAGTCCAGCCCGCCGCTCCTCGGTGGCCGCTACCTCGTCGTCGTCCTCATCGGAATCGCTGAGGAATGGATTTACGCCGCCGCCACTGCCACCACCTCCGGGCGCCATCGCCGCCATCTTACTGTCAGGAGTGCGGGCTTCCCTGGCCGGCCCGACAGGCCGCAGGCTGAATCCCCGCTCGGTCCCGGGAGCCACCGGGCACTCAGACAGTCCGGGCGCACCGCGTCCCTCCTTGTCGCCTAGAGACCAGGCCGGACCGGGAGGCAGGAGGCCGGGACGCAGCAGCCCCCGCCGCCCCAGCCGCCGCTGCACCAGCAGCGGGCTCTGCAGGCGTCTTCCTGGTCTCTACTCTCGCGAGAACTGGCTTGCGTCCCGTCCTCGCCCCGCCCCCGTCCCCGCCTCAGCCCCACCCACGTCAGGCCTGGGAGTCGGGAGATTGAAGGGCCCGCTCCGGACTCAAACGTGAAGCCACGCCCACAGCCCCTCGTGGATTGGCTGGAGTTACTGGGGCCAGGCCAGACAGTTATCGCGAGAGCCGCGGGGACCTGGGCGTGCTGGGGGCGTTCCCTGGAGGTGCAGAGGCGCAGGTGGCTGAGGGGCCGGGGCCCGCGGAGCTTAGACGGGGCGGACGGACCGTCCCGAGACCTTGCATGGCCTCGCGTCCCGACGACGGCGTGCATGCTGAGGAGGCCCGGTCCCCGAGACCCGGCCCGAGCCGGATGAGCCCCAGGTAAATGCCGGGACCCTTGCTCTTTAGTGTGGCCGCGCCATCCCGGTGGCCCCGCGCACGCCCGACCGCAGCCCACGCAGAGGCTTCTTTGCGCTTCCGCACTTGGAGATCTACATTGCAGGGACTCCGTGCGGTTAAGGGAGGGCGCCCCATCCGTGCCCGGGGGAGGGGGGTGGACCTGGAAAGCTGCAGCGTGCAGATAGAGCCCGGGAGGAAATTGCAGCGCCGAGGTTCGAGTTGCCTCTGCGCTCCTCTGTCTGTGAACTGCCTGGGCTTGGGTGACGAGCTCAGCCCTTGGAAGTCACAAACGGTTTGCACCGTAGGAACGTGTCAGCACTAGCCTGCACAGCTTCGATGACAGGATCATGTCCGTCCCCGTAGGACACATTCAGTGGCACCAACATCGCTCTCAGCTTTTTGTCCAAATCCATTTTTAAGACAATCTTCTGGAACTTTTCTGAGTTCGTTTAGGCTAGAGTCAAGGTTTTTATTGTGGCGCTTAAGGATTTAAAAAATTGCACGCTGTAGAGAGAGTTGATTTCCTTTATGAAACCTCACTATGGGCCCGAGTTGGGAAGATCGTTTATCTTTCCTGTTACTCCTTGGTTGTAGGCTGAGGTGGTGTTTCCCTGCTGTTAGTTAGTATTGGACTGCTAGTTCTGATAGCTTCTATTTTGTTACGCACAGATTGCCACTTTTCCTGGTTTTACACTTCTTTCCCTGCTATAAACAGCTTCCGAACAGATGATACAATTAATAGGCAGCAGTGTTAACTACCCGCTTTGTTACAAGGAAGCACTGAGGTGTCTCCTTTAGCTTTGTGGGAAATGAAAATAGAACATTGTTATATGACCTTCTGTCCGGTTACTGGTTTACATGTAAAGTATGCCAGAAGCTAAATGCAGGCTTTTATTTCAGTTTAATCACTATCAATAAACTAAAATTTGATTTGAACTAGGCTTTGAGAGTTTTTGTTTTGTTTGCTCATTATTATTGTTGTTTGTTTGTTTGTTTTTAGAAACTTTTAAAATACTTTGTGATATGAAGGTTCGTGGAGAACCTTGGGGGTTTCGCGGAGAAATATGGGGGTAGGTGGGGTGGATGGTTTAAGTTGGGGATAGGGAGATGGGGAGAAACTTAATCCAAATTGTAAAAGACTATAAGGAACCTTGCCACATTGTAAAGTAATTGAAAAACAAGTGTTAGTAGTAAGGCTCTTGTTGTTGATGTTTAAATAAAACTTTACCTTGCAATTCTTTGGGTAAATACTGTTCTATGCCATTTATTGATGAATCTGAAAAAAAAAAAAAACCAAAAAGATCTTTAGTATCATGGAAATAGTATAAAATGGCCAGTATGGTATTGTGTTCCACATTCTTTAGCAAAAGGGATGACCAGTCCTGCCTTTGAGATTGACCAAAAAAAAAAAAAAAAAAAAAAAAAAACCCAAAAAACAAACAAACAAACAACAACAACAACAAAAAACCCCAATGAGTGGCATGGGAAGGACATGAGTAGGAATACATTTTCTATGTACACCTTTTCCTTTGTAATGAGGAAGTTTGGAAAGCTACATCCTGTGTTCCTAAGGAGAACTGCAGTTAAGAAGATAGAAGAGCCTATACACATTATTGATTGTGTGTGGAAATATTTGAGCCTAAATTTTCTCAGCATTACTTGCATTCATCTGCCCAGGGGGATAATGGAATTGTGAGTGCTCTTGTCACTGTGCCTAGTAGCTGGTTGGCAGCAGATGCTACTTACTATGGTCAGTTATTAATTGATGCAAGTGTCAGTGGCTGATGGAGCCTGGAAAAGCAATTAAGCCAGAAAGATCAAAAGAGCTTTAATTTAGGGTCTAGATTCTAAATCGCAAATTGATGATAGCTTTAAAATGTTTGCCTCTGAGTCTAAAGAAGCTGAAGGAATAAGTTCTTCTGTGACTGACTTGCTATACACATCTGTAATTACTATTTCTAGTTCCTAACCTATAACTGGGCTAGTTTATCTAACTGCATGCTCTCAGCAAATCAACTGACCAGTCTTCCCATTGGGTAACTTTGCCTCTCTGCATCGTGCATGAATAGCTTTAATGTGGGATATTAAGAATGTCTGACCTCTTCTTATAATTTATTAATTGTTATTGAGAATTTTCTTTCTTCATTGGAAGACTGACCCAGATCAAAGCCTTTTAGGCTGACATCTGAGTAAGAATGTCTCTTAGCAATAAAAATATAAAAGGTAGGTTAAAAAAAAAAACACTAATCATTTAGGTGTTGAAGTTACTTGAGGATTTAATAGTTTTAAATAACCACAAATAGCATTATAAATGCAAAGTTTGGTTGATTTAACAATTGATAGAGTCAATTACTTCATTAGATTTTAGTTATAGCCCACAGATGTAAACTAGATTTTTATAGGCAAGTGAATATGTGTGCTTTAAATTTTAGTAACTAGACATTTATTTTGGAGGTTTCCAAACAATTCAACTATGCAACGAAGCTTTCCTTTTCAATAAATGTGAATAAAATGATTCCCTTTAGAGAAAAATGTTATATGGCAATATTGCTTGAGATAAATGTTATTGGATATAATAAACACTATATGAATATTCACACTTTTAGATCACTGCAGCTTCATGTGTAATAAATTATTTAAACAAAATGTGGGCTTTTTTGTGTTTGTTTTGAAAATATCTTTGAAGCTTCACTGATTTTTTTTTTTTTAATCCAGGTAACCCAAACAGCAAAGCAAAGCGACCTCTAGTGGTTATTGCACATATTGGTATTGTTTATTCCACAAATATTTGAGTCTTTGCATGGAATTGTGATGGATGCAAATGATGGCCTTTCCTGCTGTCCTTGAATTATCATGAAGTGACAAAAACAGACATTAAATCATCAAAGGCATAGTTATGTACTGAGCTCACAAGTCTACCGCTGAGCTAAATCCAAAGCCCCATATAGACATTTATCATATGGCTGCTCTTGATAGCCAAAAGTGGAGGAAAACTACTTCAGTGTTGTTTACTTTGGGATTTGTTAGCAAAGATGTTTTTATGGGACAAGATGTGATAATGGTATGTGATATATCAGTTTGTTTTTAAGAGAAGTGTCACAGTACCTAAAGGCATTGCCACTGAACCCGAAGACCAGAGTTTGATTTCAGAGTGGCCTTCTAATCTCCACATTTGTACCTTGGCATGCGTGTGCATATGCATGTGTAAGCAGGCACACAGACACATACACTCATAGACACATATACACATGTGTACATGCAAACCAATGCACACACAAAAACGTAGTATCTATTTTTTTAAAAAAATATATATAAAGGTTCCTACTTCCATAAAAATGGAGAGAAGATACATTTTATTTATTTATTTTTGTTTCTTTGGAGGCAGGGTTTCTCTGTGTAGCCTTGGTTGTCCTGGAACTCACTCTATAACCAGGCTGAGTTCACATGCACAGAAATCCACCTGTCACTGCCTCCTCAGTGCTGGGATCAAAGGCATTAAAGGCGTGCACCACCACTGCCCAGTGATAAGATACATTTTAAAGAAACTGTTGACAAGCTTTTGCTTAGAACCAGTGTTCTCATCCTTCTTAATGCTGCAACAACCCTTATGTTGTGACCCCAGCCGTAAAATTATTTTCATTGCTACTTCATGACTATAATTTTGCTACTGTTACAAATAATAAAGTAAATATCTGTGTTTCCCAATGGTCTTAGATTAACCCTGTCAAAGAGTCATTTTCCCCTAAAGGGGTCACGAGAACTGGCTTACAAGGTAGTAGAATCCTGGCTAAATTTTTTTGTATTTCAATTATCATTTTTTCAGAATACTATTGTTATGATGATGCCCGTTCTATAGTTTAACAGTCCTATAAACTAGGAAGCAAGCATTGCATTGAGGGATTAGGTTGCAAAATTAATCGTTGTATATTTTGTTCACCCTGAATTCCCTTAGAATAAAACAAACGTCTTCTAATTTGACCTTTTAGTTCATTTTCCTTTTTTAAGTTTGTTTGTCTTTGGGAAGCACACTTACAGTGCCTCTTTCCTCTTTATAGGGCATTCTCCATCCTCGGGATGTTTGGTTAGGAAGAGAATAAGATGTGTCTGTAGTTCTGACCTTTTGTATTTTTCACCTCAAGGTCATTATATGTACCTAACACTGCTTCAAGTAAGAGAAACTCTACTGTTTAATTTCCTTTCTTAATCTGTAGACATATTTACCAACAAAAGCAAAGTGATAGACTGATTTGAACTTATTCCTAGGGACATTTTGATCTTTGAGGTTTAATGGCACACTATCTTATCATTGAAACGTTCAGTTGGTTTTCTTTAGCATTTGTAAGCTCATCAGATCTCTGATAGGCCTTCCTGTTGCTCTTTTCTAGGGACACACAATTTCTAGTCAATGAATAAATAAACCCTTTTTATTGACTTAGGGAAATAAAGTATTTACTTAAGGAGTACAGATTTCTGAGGCACAAATGAAGTTTAACTTCTTGTGTGTAACTGCAAAATAGATGGGATGCATGTTTCTCACTCAGTAATTTTTGCTACTCAAGAGAGTTAGACAAACCCCCTAAGCTGATTACCAAAGTTAAAAAAAAAAAAACCCTCAAAAAAATTAAAGGTGTAAGTAATTTAATAAAATTAAATTCTAAGAGTAGGAACAGAGTTGTGGGCACAATCAAGAATGGCCTGAGTTATACTTTCTGAGTTATTTAGGATTTCTTGTGATTGACCCTAATTAGGACTTTGCTAATTAGTGTTCCTTTGCTAATTAGTAATTAACTGGATTAGTTACAGTCTGTTAATACTAATTGACTTCTTTTTGCTTGGTGTATGTTAACATGTATTTTATTTCAGTGTTGTCCTGTTAAGCAGTGTTTATTGTTGCCTTGTAAATGAGGGAAGTTGTAAGTCCTATAGTGTCCTGACCAGTGTGTGTGCAGCCATTAGATTGGAAGAAAGCTCCTCCGCAGCTGTGTCCAGCCTGAGTTTGTTTTCTGTTTTGGCTTCTCTTGCAGATAGCTCACTGTGGATATGCTGCTGTTCTTTGCTTTGGGATTGCTTGTACATTTTGTGTTCTTCGCCTCCATCTTTGATATTTATTTTACATCTCCTTTGGTTCATGGAATGACTCCTCAGTTTATACCATCACCCCCTCCAGCAAAAAGATTAGTCTTATTTGTTGCTGATGGCCTGAGAGCAGATGCTGTTTATGAATTAGATGAAGATGGAAACTCCAGAGCCCCTTTTATTAGGTAAGGGTTAGAGGTGCATCTTAGAAATGGTAGATTGAGTTTAAGAACATAGATTTTACTATGAACTATGAACTGATGAACATTAGCTTACAGGTGACTATCTCTTAAGTTTTTCTTTCTCTCCCTTCCTTCTTTCCTTCCATCCTTCCTTCCTTTTTTTATTTGAAACAAGGTCTCACTATGCAGGCTGGCCTGGAACTTGCTATGCAGACCAGGCTGGCCACAAACTCAGAGATCAGCCTGCTACTGCCTCCCAAACTCTTGGATTAAGGCAGTGTACCTTCTCCCCTCCTCCATACCTGACCCTTGTTCCCCCCCTCAACTGTGGTGTTCATATTGTAGATTTTTCAAGTTTGGTTTCCCCTAAACATATGACACCATGGCCTTTGTCCACCAAGTACTATACTGCATGTGTTAAGAACAAAGACTTTGTTTTATATAGCTATATACTGTCCTCACATCAAATCAAGTTTAACAATATAATATTCTGCATGTCATTTTTTCTACAGAACCAAACATCTCTGCATTGTGGCTTGAAACACTAGGGTGTAGTTTGTCTTTTATTTCCCTAGAATAGGGGAGTATTTTCTTCTTCATATTACCCAGGCACTTTCATGGTTCTGTGGTAAATTGGTGGGCAGTATATTGATTAGCCTCAACTGAGTTTTGAGATTCCTTTCCATCTTAAAATCAAATTTTTGGTTTGAGTCCTTGTATAAGAATCTGTCTTAAAGCTTTATGAGAGTTTTAATATTAGCATATGTTAACTGTTCATCCCATTTGTCTTTTAGGAATATTATAATGCATGAAGGCAGCTGGGGAATATCTCACACACGTGTGCCAACAGAATCTCGGCCTGGCCATGTAGCCCTAATAGCTGGGTTTTATGAGGATGTCAGTGCAGTTGCCAAAGGTTGTGTTCTGAAATAAAATGCTTGCTGTATAAACAATTTTTTCCCCCACTGAATCATGTTTTTAAAGATTTGGTGTGTGGGTGGGTGTGTGTGTGTGTGTATGAACACAGATGTGTGCGGGTGCCCATGGAGACCAGAAGAAGGTATTCAGCTCCCTGGAAGTAGAGTTGCAGGTGGTTGTTGTCATTTTGAAAAAGCGGATCCAGAGAGACACCATATTGTTTTTCAAGACCTGGATCTAGCTCTGTAGACCAGGCTGGCCTCGAACTCACAGAGATCCACCTGCCTCTGTTTCCCACGTGGTGCTGGGATTAAAATTAAAGGCATGTGCCACCAATGCCTGATCCCCCTTTTTTTTTTAAGTTAGGGGGAAAGAATTGTAGAAAAGGGAAAAGGGGAGCGGGGGAGATTGGCCTCCAGGGATGAGAGCAGTCAGAGAGAGGGAGGGAGGGAGGAGGAGGGAAGGGGGCATGGGAGGTCGGCAGGGCCCTTTTAAAAGGGAACATAGTGAAATAGTCACAGGTAGTGCTCTGCAGCACAGCAGCGGAGGGCGTGTCCTAACAGCTCCAGTACAAATACTAATGGTTGTGAGCCACTCAGTGTTGGTGCTGGAAACCAAACCTAGTTCATCTGGGTTCGCAAGAGCAGCAGGTGCTTTCACCTGAGCCATCTCTCAAGCCCTATGATTGTGCCTTGAGATTCTTTGACAAGTTTTGAGCATGCCTTACTCAAATGAACACACCCTGGTATTGATTCTGGAATTAACTTTAGTTGTCATCATTGTGTTCTACTGAAAAAGTATGTATGTATGTATGTATGTATGTATATTAACACAGCTTTGTTAGACATTTCAGTCAAGAATTTAAAAGTGATTACTAAGAAATAAATTATCCACCATTATTTTAAGATAGGCTATAATATGCCTAATACAATCTGAGTTTTATGTGTTGTCTTCAATACTATTTAAAGAATGCTTCCTATTTTGTTGTTTTTTTTTTAACCATATTCCTGTTTTCTTCTTTTCTTCATTACTCAAAGGATGGAAAGAAAACCCTGTCGAATTTGACTCCCTTTTTAATGAGAGCAAATACACATGGAGCTGGGGAAGTCCAGACATCTTGCCTATGTTTGCCAAAGGTAAGAGATACTGAGTATATTTCCTTAAGTAGCAAATAAGTCAGAAGTAAATGCTTTTGTCCTTGCAGTATTGGGGACAGGACTCAGGGCCTATTACATAGTAGGCTCTTCTGTTAACTCGAAGTACTCTATCCTGTAACCTCTTGAGAGCACACGTTTCAATGGAAATAAACTCCAGAACTTGTTTTTATTTTATTGCATATTAGGATTTTGACTTTGGCAAGTTAAATATGTTATTTTGAGGATAAAAAATATGTTGATGTATTTAACATGATTTATGGCACATTAAAATAAGTGTTATTTCTTCCATAAAGCACTTTGTAATTGATTCTGCCTGCTTGTAAAATTCTTCAAGTGGAGTCAGGTACGATGGGGCATGCCTGTAATCCTAGAACTCAGGAAGGTTAATTTGAGGCCATGAATTCAAAACTAGTGTGGATAATATAGCAGGATTATCTCAAAGCAACAGCAGAAACACTTTTGATTATCTCATGTTTTATGACAGGTTAAAGGTTTTGGTTTTGTTTATTTTAAATGTGTGTTTTCCTCACATTTTCTTTCCAGGTGCCAGTGGTGACCATGTTTATACCTATAGTTATGATGCCCAAAGAGAGGATTTTGGTGCACATGATGCCACTAAACTGGATACCTGGGTTTTTGATAACGTTAAGGTGTGTGTGGTTTGGCTTTGTTTTGAAACAGGCTCTTCTATGTAGACCAGACTGGCCACAGTTTGGAACCTTCTTGCCTCAGTGTCCTAAATCCTGCTTTACATGTGCGGACACCCGGGGAAGTATTTGCTATGAAGTGGTTATTAACTAAGTACACACTTACGTAGAGTCCTGGAAATTTATTTCATCTCAAGTTTAGTTTGCTGCCTGTCTGAACTTGAGCATTCAGTGTCATACCATGCTATTTTTAAAAGAAATGCCATGTTCTACAATGGCTAATAAAACTCTTCTTTGAAATAACCCTCTAAAACTTTGTGTTCCTTAAGGTAAAATGAGGCCTAAATTAGGATCCGCAAAAACCTTCTTTCCGTTTCTCATTTGATGAGTTACTGCAGGCAGCTTTCACTCTGTTGACCTTGGAGCTTTTGTCTGGTAGTAGTGGTCCATGTGAGATGTAGAGTATTTTGAAAATTCTGTTTCAAACTAATACTTTTATAATACCAAAGAAATGAGATTTTAAAGAAAAATTAGGGGCTGGACAGATGGCTCAGCAGCTAAGAGTACCTACTGCTCCTGTCGAGCCCCCAGGTTTGGTCCTTAGCACTTACATTGAGCAGCTTACAGCCACCTATAACTTCAGTCCCAAGGATCTGACACGGTCTTCTGGCCTCCTCAGGCACCTGTGTACACTCGGGAAACATGCATATCATCACGTATACATTAAAGAAAGAAATCTCCACAAAAGAAAGAAAAATCACATAAGCCAGAACAGATTAGCCAGCTAGCCTTTATTAAAAGCTCACAAGCTTCTTCGAGTAGCAGAACTTTAAAAAGTAACTTTTGTTGAGACACAAGCTGAGCTCTACCTTATCAGCATTTCATAGCTTCTCAAGTCCTGTGTCTGTGGTTAAAAGGCTAGTCATGGAAAAAACTATAAAGTTTAACTGGTTAAGGAGAATACAAATGGAATTGTAAGAGCAGTTTTATCCTTGAATAATTTTTGTTAATTATTCCACTTATACTTTTAAATAGTTTATTTTTCAGCAATACTCATCCTGTTGAAAGGTAGCATCTTTTAAATCTATATACATTTATTTAAACAATAATGATACACGTTAACATCATCTGTATATTTAAAATAATTTTAAAGCTCTCTCCTTGGGTATTTGCATACATACTTATTAATGTGGGTCAGGGTGAATTATTTGTCTCTGAAAGACTTATGGATCTGGTTTATTATTGTAATATTAATGTAATAAGTTCTGAACTGTACTTTGTTAAGTGGCATTTCTCCACCACAGGATACCTAAAATAGGTCCTAGTCATGGAAGAGGAAGTAGTTAAGTTCTCACAATCTTAGTAAGAGGTCTTAGTTTTACCGAATTGGAAGTGGGCAGGAGACAAAAATGACCCATTTCTAAGTATATTTAAATATAATAAATGTTCTTGAACTGTTCCCACCAGTGCTGTTGAATATTTACCTCTTAACAAAATAGTTCATTTTTTTTTTTAAATTATAGTAGATCTGTGGTAAGAATGGTATGAAATGAAACTCCCTTTTCTATAATTATTTGCCTTATTGTATCAGAATAGCTGAATTGATAACAGAGATTTCATGTTGGTATATCTTGATGACAAAATGAAACTATATAAGATGAATTAATTTCATAGTCATTTATAAATTAGTTTTCACCCCATTTGTTACATGTAGGACTTCTTTAACGCTGCAAGGAACAACCGGTCTCTGTTCTCAAAAGTGAATGAAGAAAAAATTGTTTTTTTCTTACATTTATTAGGAATAGATACAAATGGACATGCTCACCGACCATCATCAAGGTAATTTTAATGTTGTGTTCAGTTTGATCTTGTGGGAAATAGCTATTCTGTTTGAAGTTTTGGTGTAATATGAAATGTTCTTTGTAATTATGACAACAGAAGTAATACTCTATGTGACATTTATCTTGTATAATGTTCCAGCTATATGATGTATAATTTTATAGTGGTGAAAATCACCTAGTTTTGGCCATACTGCACATTAAAGTAAGTGAAATAGATCTTGCACATACTCCATATCCTTCATTTATCAAGGCCAGAGAAAAATGTCTGAATTACCCAAATTTTGGGGGTATTTTCAGTAGACCTCAAAAGCACAAACATTTTATGGTATTAATTTTTATAACAGAAGATGTAATTTCTTTGGGTGTTTATTTAATCATCATTGTATCTACCAAACAATTGCAAAAAGTGTTGCTTATTAATTCTTTGGTGTTATTCTCAGCTTTACAAGCCATAAGAAGTAATCATTTAAATTTTTTCCTTTATTTTGAATTAGTTTTTTATTAACTGTAATGTCTGCTGGTTTAATTACTATCATGAATATCTCAGATTCCCCTAGTTTAAGATAATGCACTGTTTTCATTAGTGGAATATGTTCTTATTAAAATAGCTTTGTTCAACTATATGGGAAGCTTGAGTACAGTTTGTTCTCAGTACTGCAGTAGACTGAAGTCACAAATACTTGATAGGATGGGAATATTCTGTATGTTAAATAATGACACTTTCCTAATCAGGTCACTGGAACGGTTTATACGACTCAAACTTGAATGTCTCCATTATCATGTCTAGAATTTGAAAAGTGTTTATTAAATATTTACTAATCAATATTTTCCTTTTAAAATGTTTATGAAAACTACTTCAAGGTTTTTAAAATTCATTAAAGGAAAACATTAGTCTTACTAGGGGCTCTGATTTTAAAATAGTAAAGATTAAATCTGAAAGCATTTCTTCAGTTCTTGACTCTAAATGTAATGAGTCTTGGGTTGAATAAATTTGATTTCTCTAAATTAATTTAATTTTTTCTTTTGTTTCTTTGTAAACAGGGAATATAAGGACAATATTAAAAAAGTTGATGATGGAGTAAAGGAAATTGTGTCAATATTCAAGCATTTTTATGGTGATGATGGGAAAACAGCATTTATCTTTACCTCTGACCATGGAATGACAGACTGGGGTTAGTTTTTCTTTCAGTGCTATCTTGGCAGATACAGCTTACAAATATTATGTTCAGAAGATTGGATGTTTGCAATTTGCAAGTGTCCAGCATGTAATTTTATGTTTAAAATGGTTAAATAGTCTCACCTTCTATAAAAGATCTTTTTGAGAAGGTGGAAAAACAAACAAAACCCAGGTACTTTTAAATTGTTTTTCACACTTTTGTACTAGAAAAGAAATTCTACCTGGGGTTGCATACATGTGATGGCAGAGGGAGTGATGGTAGTTAAGATGTGTTACTGAGGACTGCCAGGGCAGCTGGACCATGTTAGGTAAGGCCACGCTCCCCAGGGCAAACACGGTTTGTTCTCAGAGAACAGTCTGACATAAAGACGAAGTTTGAGTTTTTGAATCACAAGATATAGTTCTAGTGAGCTGGGTTACATTTTATAAAGGACTGCTTTGTGTTGCTCTATTTACAGTGAGGCTGGAAGAAAAGGATTTTTGTGTCAGTTACTTGTGCATAGCTGTGACCATGAGAGCACCTTAAGAGGGAGAAATATTTACTTTGGCTTACTGTTTTAGAGGATTCTCTGTGGTTGGCTGGCTTGGGCAGAATGCCGCGTTTCTGGGGATGTTTGGCAGAGGATTCTTTACCTTGTCATAGGCAGGAGGCTAAGGTAGAAAAATGGGGACGAAGGGAGATTATTACCCTCAAAGCCATGCCTCCAGTGACTAAGGATTTAAGCTAGCCCCTACAGCCCAATGATTCTGCAGCCTCCCTCAGTATTTAATATGTGAACCTGTAGGGAACATTTTATTTTCAAACCATGTGAATCCACATAGCTTGCTGTCCTTTTTAAAAGCCTGGGAAATGATTCCCCTGAAAATGTCTTCCCTCCTCTCTCTGCCTCTGTCTGCCCTGGCCCCTTCTGTGGTGATACTTAGGCTTTGGTGTATATGTGCACACATGACTTAGATGTCCCATCCATTAATAGCCACCAGTTTCCGTCACTTTGGTCAGTTATGTATCACTGCAGGTATTGCTCCCCCCTTTAAGAAGCAGCTTCTTTGACTGAAGCCTACAAAAGCCCTAATATATGGATGTCGGCATAGTTATTGAGACGACAATATGACAGTCACATCCTATCCATTTAGCAAAAACCTTTGCCTGCCTTACATGGGTCAGCATGTCAAACACAGCATTTGGAGAGGGTTTGCATTGTCACCTGGTGACTCTTGATGTCCCTGCTGTAGGTTCCCATGGGGCTGGCCATCCTTCAGAGACTTTGACTCCTTTAGTCACCTGGGGAGCCGGAATCAAGTTTCCTGAGAGAGTATCAGCTCAGCAACCTGATGACGAATTTTTAAAAGGTACCAATTTTGTCTTTGTTGTCAAAAGCCTGTGTATAGCATTTTAAAATACAACTAAAACTAAAGTCAACATTTAAAAAGACAATGAGTTTTCAAAAATCATTTCAAATCTCTCATTTTAGTGATTGTGTCATTATTTTTGTCAAATGCAAACGCTCCAAATCAAGGGGTTGGTTAGTTTGTTTTCTCTCCTTCTCTTTCCTCAGAACTATTTGTTGAACAGTCTCCAATATACCACCCTTAGTAACTATTTTGGCTTTTTTGGATGTCTAGGATTTAGAAATTTTGATCTTGTTTTATTATGTTAAAAATTTGACTAGAAGTGACTAAGAGTAAAATAAGAAAATGCACAGTTCCTTAGATGTAAATTTTAAAGTTAACTATGATTTCCAACTTAAGCAAAAATCATATTAATTATGAGATTGCAGTATCTAAAAATATATATCCCTTATATGAAAAGCTAGATGTAGTACCAATTTATTTCTTTCTGGACCCAGGTGAAGACAGCACAGCATGTTTTCGTGTAAGTCATGTTGAATTTTTCATTATGGTATTTATGTATTGTCAGTGCTAGCAGAGAACACCAGGCCAGGTCATAGGCCTACAGAGGAAGTATTTGAGAAAGGTCCAGAATACAGCAGTAGTATTCTGATTCTTCCAGACTTACTTAAGCACAAATGAGTAGAACTTAGAGAGCATTTTTATCTACTGTGCTATGTGCTATCTTTGGAATAGTTCTTGTTTCCATAGATCTTAGTACTAGCACAGGGTTGTCCAGCTCATGGTCCACATGTGACCAGCCAAATATAAAACCATAAACTTACTACTAGGCGTGTTTAAAACCTAAGGCTAAGATTTTTTTTTTTTTTTTTTTTTTGGCATTCATTCATTCATTCATTCATTCATTCATTCATTTTGGTAACTCAATTGAGCCATTCTTGAGCATGAACTTTGTACAAGATGACATTGTATCCCAGTGGCATATAAAGCAGATGTATATGTGTACTCATGCAGGTCATGGAAACTTCTGTAGGAGATCCAAGTTATTAGGAACAGAAATGAGTCAGTTCCGTATTAGGTATGTTTTATTGCTGTGGTAAACACCACGACCAAAAGCAGTGTGGGGTGGACCTCAGCATAAGGTCTGATACCCTGAACCTGCTGGAAGGGACAGTAGGCCCAGGAAAGGACACTCTGACCTGGAACTTACTGCAAGCACTAAGCTGATAAACGGGACTACAGGAAAGAGCTTGTATTTAGATTATAAAAATTACTCAGAAACTAAACAACAACAAAAACAAAGATTGTGGCATGGCACGGAAAGTTCTGAAAAGATGAAATACAGATGGGTGAGAAATGAATACTTTTTTAATGGTCAAATCCGTACCCATCGGGGAAATGCAAATCAAAATTACTCTGAGATTCCATCTTAACTCGGTTGGAAGTCCTAAGCTCCAAACACAAAGAACAAATACTAAAGATGCTGTGGGGGAGGGGTTGCCTACTGACTGCTGGTGGGAGTACAGGCTGGTATAGCCACTGTGGGAATCAGTGTGAGTGTCCTCTACAGCTGAAATAGATCTATCCCGTGAAGGGTTTAAATGCCACTTAATATGCTGTCGTAAGTTAGTGCTCATAGGAGCGTCACAGCTAGTTTTAAATACTGGCAGCCCGCAAAGGGGAGGGAGGGTGTGTTGGCTGTGGTCCTTGCCTCAGTATCGGAGCACAGCTGTGGTCAGTGGTGACCTGGCTGGCAGTTGCCCTTAGGCTTGTGCTTCCTTCTTTGTTTCCTTGGATGTTTTGAACACTGTATTTCCAAATGAGTGTGTTAAAAGCTTAATAGATCACACAGAAAATACTAAAGATTTATTCTTCAGTTTTTCTTTTTAAGCATCATTTAGAAATATTCCTCTGCTTTCTTCAACGTCTTTTTTTTTTTTTTTTCATACTTGGTTTAAGAGAGAGTTTCCAATACTTATCCTTTAAGTGGAGTGCCCAGAATGCCTGAAAATAAGGCGATCTGTTCTTGTTAAAAATCTTAACATCATGTTTTCAATCTATGTCTGTCAGAATGGAAATTGGAAAACTGGAAGAGGCGAGATGTCGATCAGGTACCTATTTAAATTAATTATGTTATTCTTTATAAATATTTAGAGAAACATGCAAAACTAGGCAGCAATACTAGTGTAGCAGAAGCAAAACTTTTTCCACCATATTTCTCTTATTAGACTACTTTTAGTGCAAGTTCTTTGCTTGTGCCAATTAAAAGGAGAAAACTTCAGGTGGGTGAAGCTGAACTTGAGCTGGCCAGGTGGGTGATGTGATTGACTAGTCCTGACCCTGAGTTTAGTCCCCAGCACCTAGATTGGCAGAAGTGAATCGACTCTACAGGGTTGTCCTTTGATTTCCACGTGCGTGCTAAGGCGTGCACGCTTCTCTCCCATCCTCCACCATACATACAATAATAAGTAGATACTGTTTTAAACTCTTAATTGAAAGTAAAAGACTTCTTCCAGGGGCCTCAGCTAGGCAAGAGTTCTTGTTAAGAAAGTTCCACCCGAGTATAAATCCCTAGCACCCACATACGTCTCTGCGTAGCTTCATGCGCCTATAGCCTTCCTGTCGGGAGGTGGAGACCTGCAGATGCCAGGAGCTCACTGACTGGTCAGCCTGCTCAGCAGACAGCGAATCTTTGGGGGCAGTGAGAGACCCTGTCTCAAAGTGTAAGATGGAGACCAATAGAAGAAGATGTCCTGTATGTGTGCCTGCATTCCACCAAACACATGTGTATACATTATACCTCCAAATACATGTGTATACACTATACTTCCAAACACATGTATAGGCATTATACCTCCAAATACATGTGTATTCACTATACCTCCAAATACATGTGTATACACTATACTTCCAAACACATGTGTACACATGTGTATACACTATACTTCCAAATACACGTGTATATATTATACCTCCAAATACATGTGTATGCACTATACCTCCAAATACATGTGTATATACTATACCTCCAAATACATGTGTATACACTATACCTCCAGATACATGTGTACACATTATGCCTCCAAATACATGTGTATACATTATACCTCCAAATACATGTGTTTACACTAGATCTCCAAATACATGTGTATATACTATACCTTCCACCCCAAGGCTGTTTCCAAGTAACAGAGGGAGTTGTCATGTGTTCCGGGTGGTTTTATGTCAACTTGACACTAAATAGAGTCATTAGAGAGAAAGGAGCCTCAGCTGAGCAAATGCCTCCATGAGATCCAGCTGTAAGGCATTTTCTCATTTAGTGATCAATAATAGGGGAGGGCGCAGCCCATGGTGGGTGGTGCCTTTTCTGGGCAAGGTGGTCCTGGGTTCTATAAGACAGTGGTCTGAGGAAGCCATGGGAAGCAAGTCAGTAAGCAGCACCTCCATGGCCTCTGCATCAGCTCCTGCCTATGGGATCCTGCACTGTTTGAGCACCTGTCCTGACTTTTGTCAGTGATGAACAGTGATGCTGAAATGTAAGCCAAATATAACCCTTTCTTCCCTACTTGCTTTTTGGTCATAGTGGTTTCTTGTAGCAGTAGATGCTCTAACTTCAATACTATGTAAATTGAAGTTTACAAGCTTTTTACATTTTGTTTGACTTCCTGTAATGTTTACACTGCTTACATTCAGTTTATTCCCTTTATCTCAGTTACTGTTTCCTTAATTAATACATATTTTACTTTTCACTGTGTTTTAACCTAGAAACATCCTTGCTAATGCAATGGGAAAAGTGAGAGAGTATAAATTATATAGCTATAGATACTTTGTTATAGGAGAATGTGTGTAAATTGAGAAATCTAGACTGAGTATTGTCTATAAATGTTAAGCATAGGGTTGTTGAATACACGGTACTTAGACAGCTATCTTCACTATTTATAGAAGGCTTGCCATCACTGGGTTGTGACTATGAGAGTAGTAGGTAGCTTGTCTTCTAGGTCATGTGTAAGGTGACATTTTCTTACTAAAGAGGGTAAATCAAGGTCTGGGGATTCAGTTTCATGTTTATTTGAAAGTTTGTTTCTAGGAGCATAATAAAAATAGTATTTTCCTTTTAGGATCAATGCATAATACCCAAGAAAACGAATATATGTAACATGTGATGTATATGTCTGGTAAACTCTGCTTAGCAAAGGTTTTTCCAGGAAATTGAGAGTTGAGCTGAGATAGAAGAATAAGCAAGAGTAATGTTAGAAAAGTCTCTCGTGTTCAGATTCAAAGGTACCATAGGATGTCAGGCAGAAACAGTTAGGCCCAGGTCTGGTAGAGCATGATGCACCTTGGGCACTTAATTCGAGAAGCTTGAGGAAGCTTTTGGGGGTGTAGGGGGAAGAGAGAGAATGTGTATGTATGGCTTCAGGATAAATAGATGCCATGAGAGGGAGTGGAAAGACTTGAGGAAGGGTTTGAATGCCACCAATTTTGTGGGAGTGGCATCAGACTTCACAAACTCTTACATCAAGCACTGAACAGAGATGTACTTACAAAGGAGCATCGTGAAACAGAAGGGCTCAGTAATGGGGAGGCATGGCCAGAGCAGCAGTTGAAGCTGCCCTTCATTGCAGGTTGTTATGTGATGGGCACATGGTAAATTTATTTAATCCTGCTGTCGCTTTGTAAGGGAGAAACATATATATTTAACTGATAAGGAAACTGAGTCATCAGGGAAGTCTAGTAATAACCTGCTGAAGTTTCCAGAGCTAGCAAAGACAGGATTTGAAGGTCTCTTCCAACTTCCAAGTATTATACTACTTGACAGATTTTGAGGACTGATAGAATTAAACTTAGGAAAACAGAATCTATTGTTTCCCTTTTGGTGAGATGTCTTTGGATGATAGTGGCCAAAGTACATTGCAATAGGATGAGGAGTGGATAGACAGATGAAGAATCACAACAGGAACGTACACATCTCTCTGAGATGGGGGGCTGAAAAAGAAATACCCACAGTGCCATCTGGGCTCTTCTTCCTCACTGGCCAGCCAGGCTTCCTTCCGATGAGCTCATTCCTTCAGAGCTTGTGCACATTTCTCCCGATAGCCTACTGCTGGTTCTTTTGCATGATACTGAAAAACTCACACAAAATAGTCAAGTTCTTAGCTAACAGGGCAAGTATTTTATGATTTTGTTTTGTATTGATGACCTTTAATGGTTTCTTGACTTAGTTTGTAATAAGTTCATATCTAGCAAATGGCATTTAAAGACACTGATACATAAACTGTTTAAAGGTTTTTGATTGTAGTAAGTGTGGTGATAGTTCAAATATAGTTGTATTTGAGGATGCAATTTTCTGGTTTACTACACATGCTAGACTCACTAGACTTGAGCTCTTCTGTTTCCTAGGCTGATATTGCACCACTGATGGCGTCTCTTATTGGAGTTCCCTTCCCTCTTAATTCGGTGGTAAGGAATAACACTTATTACCAATACTCCATATTGAAATGAAATTTACTTTTTATGTGCCCCTCTATAATCTTTATATCTAAAATTGTATTCTTTCTTGCTTATCTATATCTAAATAGATATACAATACCTCATAATTGAGCATTATAACATGGGAGAAAGTTTTCCTTTAAATGTTTTATTTTTTTAAAAGATACACGATGTTTTCTAGTAACAAGTGACATATGTAAATAACTTTTTGATTATAAGCAACAGAAACTGAGTCCCTTTAGAGGGGAAATTATTAGGAATATATTAATGGCTTGCTGGATTACATAGCTCATATTTGATATCACCAGGAACCATGGCTGTGCTGCTCAAGGCACCAGCTCTCGGGTAGACTAAGATCATCTCATAGTTGCTGTTTTCTAACTCTAAAGAACCAAATAAATATATATAAGTTGTTTGGCTTGTCCACAGAGGAGGACAGGGCCTCTGATTACTCTTTTACCATATTACATCCAGTGGGGAGACCCCCAGCAGGAAGTAGTAATGCTGTAAAGAATCTGCTCAAATGGTGAAAACCAAAACATAAACTAAAAAAATTCTCCTTACAAGCAGTCATACTGACTTGATTTTCAAAGTCAAATTTATGTTAAAGATGGAATATAAGTCAGAACTTTAAAAAATACGGGCTTGACTGCCATAAGTATACCTGTGTGTGTATGTGTAAGGTAATTTTGCTTTAAATTGAATAGACTATCCTCATGTGTTTTATATATGTGTTGTATTTGCATCCTTTTGTTTTTCCAAAAAGTATTATAACGTGGCCATTACAGTGGTTATTTTTTTGTGTGTAGCATATAGCAATATGTCCAACGTATTATATTAGACAGACTGCTTCCCATTGCTATAACAAATTTCCTAGATAATCAACTTAATACAGTTTATTTTTGGCTCACAACATTAAAGGTTTCAGTCTGTGGTGATACATTGTGCAGGAGTATGTGGCAGACCAAAACCAAAACTGCTTGCCTTGTGACAAAGACACAAAAAGGCCAAGCCACCATAGTCTTATAAAGCTGTGTGTCTCTGGTGACCAGATGATAGCCCAAAGTTTCTGTCACTTCTCAGTAGGTCTTAACCTCGTCACTGTCCTGTTAACTTCCAGTAGCACCAGGCCGGGGATTAAGTCTTTACTCATGTGCCCTTAGGGAACATGTAGAGTACAAATCATAGCAGTCATCAGCCAGTGTTAGATTTTAATTGACTTTAATCAGTCTCATAATTTTTGCTTTGTGAAAAAATTATCATTTTTTTTCAGTTACAGTTTTAAAATTTTTGTAATTTAATCCAGTAATCTATTTTTCTATGCATTTTTTTTAAATTTTAGGTGTATGTGTGTGCTAGCCATGTGTTCACCTATGTGAACATGTAAGCTACTCAGTGCGTGTGCTGGACACCGAGTCTTTGTCCTCTGGAAGAGTAGCAAGTGCCCTTACCTTCTTAACCACTCTTTTTTTTTTAATGTTACAAATGTGTGGGTCAGTACTCACATGTGTGTTTGTGTAGAACATGAAGGCCTGGTGCTCTCAGAAAATACTAGAGGGTGTCATAGCTGCTGGAACTGGAATTGAAAGTGATCACAAATCACCATGTGGGGCCTGGGATTTGAACTCTCAGGTCCTCTGGAAGAGCGGTCAGGGCTATAACCACTGGCCCACTGTGCCATCTGTCTATCCCCACAGCACGCGCTCTTGATTGCTAAGTCATCTCTCTATCTCCTTGTTTTCTCTGTTGAAACAGAATCTCACTCTAGCTCACTCTAGCTGGCCAGGAACGTGCGATCCACACCTTGGCCCCCAAGTGCTAGGTTTACAGGTTGTGCTTGTTTTACAAGCAGAGCACCACAGTCTTTATCAGTACTTGTTATGTTCTATGTTTTAGGGAATACTTCCTGTGGATTATCTTAACAACACTGGTCTCTTCAAAGCAGAGAGCATGCTTACCAATGCAGTACAGATTCTCGAGCAGTTCAAGGTGAAAAACAATGAACTATACTGTAAATTTTAAATGCGTTAAGTCAAATATTTGATTTTATATTTTAATGAATAATTTTCTATAACGTAGTGTCTTGGGTTTTGAGTATTTGCCTAGTGTCATAAACGAATGAAAAAAAGAAGTAAAAAGGAAAGGAAAGGTCACGGCAGTCCCTAGGTATGCTGGAGGAGGTTTATTATAGATACATGGAGAGCATAGTCAGAGGCAGGGACATCTGGGAGAGTCCAAAGTGGACATGACCCTGAGACATGTGAGGGAAGGAAGAGGTTGGGCAGGGGAACGGGTTGCAGCAGCCAAGAGGGCAAAGGTACAAAAGGAGCAGGTAACCAAAATGACTGGAGTATATAGGGAAGAGCCTCTGGGGAAGTGCAGCCCAGCCCCCCCAGGCTGGAGAGTTAAGGGTAGAGGGCTGGCTATGCCACCCATACCCTGTATGGACTGAGGAAGGCTGGAGAACCTGGAGGTCAGGTCTACTAGGATAGCTTAGATAGGCACCTCAGCCATTGTCCTGGGCTTGAAACTTACATTTTTTGTTTCTGAAGTACAGGTTTTGTGGGTCAGTTAGAGGGTGAAGAATTGCCTTTGAGGAGTGTCAACATTAAGATTGGCATAAATACTTACTAAGACTACAAGTCAAGTGCTCATTTATTGGAATATGCCCAAAAGAAGTAGACTGGAGAGCTCAGCATTACAGAGATGATTCTCTGATACAACTTTGCCTTCTGTCATTTTCAGAGTTAAGGAAGAATTATTGTAATTACATTACAGTACGCTATTTTTGCAATATTGTTGTATTTAGTTCTCAGCTTTGAGATAGTAAAGTATTATTTAATTTTTTTATTTATGAAACAATACAACATAATAACACAAAATCTGATTTACTTCCAAGGAAGTTAATCTTCCCTGAAGAATCATTTTAATTGATATTTATATTTCAGAATGAAATTCATTATTTTTTCTCATTTATAATATATTTTTATGCTTGCTTCCTAGGTGAAGATGACTCAGAAAAAAGAAGTTACTTTACCATTTTTGTTTACACCATTTAAGTAAGTCCTAAATATTTTTTAATAAGTTGAAGGAAAAAACTTTTCTTGAGTTTGATGCCAATAAGATAGATTATATGTAAACACTGTCATTTTTGTGTATAGTAAAATAGATGCCAAACTGAAGACTTCTTGTGTTACTTTTGCTAATGAGGCAAATGTTGTGTACTTCTGAAAAGCTGGAGGATGTGGGCACTATATTCATAGAAGGATAACCTAGTTAGTTCACCTTACATGTGACAATGTTAGCTCCTTAGTTAGACATGGGTCCTTAGATATCAGATCTGGGTGAGTATTGAAAATTTTGGAGCCATCACTGTGAAGATGGTGATAGTGTCGAACCCCCCAAATCACCAAGAGACCCTATCTGATACAAAAGCAAAGAGTCTTAACAAATTAATGAGTTAACTGTATTAACTTGGCAGGTGGAGCAAGAAGGGCCTGGAGGGAATGTGGGCGGGGCAAGGGGTTTAATGGGGTCTCTGGGTTGGTAACTTCGGGGCTTGGGCCACCTGTCCTGTGTTGATTGGTCACCTGGTTGCTATGACCCATAGGCCCTCCCAGGGCAGTTGCTATGCTCTGTATGCCACTGTTACCATAAAGCACATCAGAGCCATCAGCTAGCTTCTGATTGGTTCCTTGCCACATGGTGGGTATCTGGTTTCCTAGTGACTGGGGCAAGGTTGGGAAAGACTCGAAGTTCAGCACATATTGCTGCCAAAGAAGGCGGCTGGGTGAGGGTCTGGTCCCTTCAATGGAAACTGTTCACTATATGAAGGCTCTGGGGAGAGTGTACAGAGTGACAGGGAAAGGTCGGTGTGGTATTTGGAGAAACATTGGCCTCCACCAGTGGGCAAATATGAGAGCCACTTTGATGGGCACTAGATTTTGTTCTAGATCTCAGAGAAGAAGTGTTTTTCCAGGATGAAGAAAAGGCAGATCTGAATCCTCCGCCTTGTTCTTTATAACTGACTGTGTGTATGGGCTTAGCAGGTTTTCTCAGCCTCTTGGAGGTCCATATTCAGAAGTATTCTCCTTCTGATATATATAATACACACACACACACACACACACACACACACACACACACACACACACACACACTGAAGTTATAGGAGTTTTAGGAATTTCATTCAAATTACCTCACTGCAATTACTTTTGGCAAGTTATTTAATACAGATATGGTCTTGATAAACCAGAAAGGTTTAAATGTGATAGTATGCTTGTTTTGTGTATGTATGTGTGTGTGTGTGTGTTCATGTATATAAATATGGAACTTGAAGTTCAATTTTTCACTTTAGTTTTTAAGGAAATACGCTTTCAACAATGAGTATTTTTAGACTAGCAGGTCTGCAAGTTAGGCTGGTCACTGTTGTTCCAGTCCAGGTTAGTGAGCAGCTGCTTAGACTGAGCCCCTGATGACACAAATATAGCAGTGGCTGTGAATATGTACAGCAGCCTGTATGTGTATATGTGTTTGTATATAGTACTTATCTCCTTTAAAGAAAGACTTATTGACTGAACACTGTATGTGTTATTTTTAGTTACTATCTTGACACAATCTAGAATTAGTTGGGAAGAGACTCTTAATGAGGGCCTAGCTGGATCTGGTTGGCCAGTGGACATTTAGGTGTGGTATTAACTTGATTATTAACTTGAGGTATATCCACTCACTGTGCGTGGTGCCAATCCCTAGGCAGGGGATTCTGAAGTGTGGACCTACCTCTCTAGAAAGGCTGGTCAAGGATAGAGTCTTGAAAGGCATGAGTGTACTTTTGCCTTCTTCCACTTGGCTTAGTGTCTAATGCTAAGTTTTTACTTTGATGTTCAATTTCTGACTGAATGCTGTTATCTATATTTAGAGATATTGTTTGATGTCATGTGGGGGCTTGTTCCAACCAGTGGCTCATCTGCTTGGAGCAAAGTGACGAGAGTCATCTCCAAACCTGTTTGGCTAAAACTTCTTTAACTTGAAGTTTTAGTGTCACCAGAAAAACCAAAGATGATAAAATGTAAACTGACTCTTTAAGATACATAATTGAAAGAATAGAACCTCAATGTCTTAAAACTCCTCAGAAATGTCTAAGAAACCATTAACATTCATAAAACTAATGCTCATTTTGCAAAAAGAAAAAAAATAGGACAATATTAAAAGAAGGAAGGATGGGCTGGAGAGATGGTTCAGCTCCTGCAGAAGGCCTGCATCATGTCCCCAGCACACACACAGCTGGAAGCTGCCTGTAACTCCAGGTTCAGGACATCGAATAGACTTTTCCGGTTACCATGGACACTTGCACACATATGGTGCACATAAACTTATGCACGCACACACACACACACACACACACACACACACACATACACACACACACGTGCGCGCACTAAATATTTCTTAAAGGAAGAAAAGAACTTTTAAAGATAAATTGACCAAGAGGCAATTCCTCCAAATTAGATAGTGAGTGAGTAGAGCTATAGTGAAGGAGATGAATATAAGCAGTAGATGGAGGGAAAGCTGGATAGATTAACAGTAGGATGGTGTCCAGGAAAACTCAGTCTTCGTCTGTCCTCCTCCACTTGACAAAGCAACGCCATGGGTGTGGCATGATTTTAAACAGTTGCTGGGAATGTGAGAAAAGTGATTCCACATTGTTCCATGGATCAAATCTTGATGGAATAGATGAGAAAAATCTAGCCAGTGAACTTTGCTAGTCAATGAACAGCACTTAAATGATAGTCAGACCGTGTGAATACCGGCTTTCAGCTTTTAGTATCAATCCTTAGGCAAAACAGGGAAGAATTAGAGTTACAGAGTAGTTATATAAATGTCACCAGCCTTGACAATATGCTGGTATAGTTAACAGCTGGAAGGCAGAGGGGAAAGGACACATAAAATGTGGTGGTCATATTGACCTCATAAACTATTACATAGAACATTCTGTCTACTGAGTGACTAAGACAGAGGTTTAGGTAGTAGATGATGGCAGAACCGTGCTGTATAACAAAGAATAGGCAGTGAGGTTACCGGGCTGAGGAATGAGGAGGCCTAGAGGCAGCAGTGGTCAACAGAGAATGTGCTGGCTGATGAATCGTGACTTAGTATTAAGAATGCACATGGAGAGAGCTATTGGAATAGCTTGAAGCAAACAGATTAAGACGTTTTGTCCCTGTGGATCGGTGAACTGAGAAACAGAAGGTTATTTTTTCATTATCATTATGCAGTTCTGTTTGTTCCACATGAAGAAATATTTTTGTACAGTATGTTTTGATCATATTCTGCCTTTCCCCTACATCTCTGTGATTCTCCCTACCTCCTGACCCACACAACTTCATGTTCTTTTCTCTCTCTCTTAAACAAACAACAGCAAACCAGCAACTCCCTCCCCCAGCCCAGTCTTAAGAGTTTTTATTGCTGTGACCATGGCAACTCTTAAAGGAAAACATTTAATTAGGAATGGCTTACAGTTTCGGAGGTTTAGTCCATTATTGTCATGGTGCTGTGTAGGCTGGCACGGTGCTGGAGAAGGAGCTGAGACGTCTGTTTCTTGACCCACAGGTAGCAGAAGCAATTGTGTGCCACACAGGCGTAGCTTGAACATAGAAGGCCTCAAAGCCCTCCCTCACAGTGACACACTTCCTTCAACAAGGCCACACCTTCTAATAGTGCCAATCCGTATAGGCCAAACATTTAAATACAGGAGTCTGTGGGGACCATACCTATTCAAACCATGACACCCCCAAAATTCAAAACAAACAAAAATGCACAAGACAAAAAACAAACAAACAAAACCAAAACAAAAAGCACCTACAGTCATCAAGTGGTATTTTATTTTGTTTTCTTGATTTTAAAAAATTACATGCATATATTGCTCAAGGTCATGAGTTTGAAACTGTCTGAGCAGCAGGATGTTGAGGCTGTCATCTTAAAAAAAAAAGAAATTTGAATTTGTAATCTCTGATACTAACCAAATAGAATATGCAGCAGGAGAAAGGATGCCATTCAGAGTAAAAGTAAAACAGAATATAATGGAAAGAGGCAATTGTAGAAAAAAGCTACAAAATTTATTGTAGGTCATAATAAAATATAAATAATTATCAACTAATATTGTTAAATATCAAATACTAACACTCTCCTAAAATTTACTAACTACAGAATAATAATTTTCCATGTGGTTAAAGTTGTTTCTCAAACTTTATATAGAGAGTTTTCCAGAATAGCTTATACTAATACTAAGGAAGAGCCAGATAAAGACACTTTATTTACTAGACAGCAGATGCATTCCACAGACACATATAAAGCATTGTTCGTGTAAGTAGAGCATGCAATTACAAACACTGACTTGGTAACACTTAAAGTGTTGATACTGTTCCATAATTGGTTTTGATGACAGATGACATTTAAGATTAGGGAAGAAGGCTTACGTACAGCACATTACTTTTGCACTAGAAAAAATATGGCCAGATTCTGCTTGTGCCACTCACAAATTTCATTCCACATTGATTGAAAATGAAATAAAATGCTTTTTAAAAAGCAAAAGTATGACTCCCATAGACAAAACAAAATATATATCATTAAGGAAGGACAACTTGAATATGAGAATTAAATGTTGTGTTCAATAAAGTAGATCGTAAAGATGAGGTCATTTTCAGATTTGGAGAAAATACTTACAGACTATGTGACGGGCATTATTACAATTTATGCTATGTGGAGAACTTTGTACATCAGGTTAGGGAAATAGCAAATACAAAAGAGTGCTTACTGTTTAAGTCTGAGGATCTGAGTTCAATTCCCAGACCCTGTGTTAAAACAAACAAACAAACATCCCCACCAAAAAAAACAAACAAACAAACAAAAAAACCAAAAAAAGAGGAAATAAGGCCAGCTGTGGTGGTGTGCGTTTGCACTTTTACCACTGTGGAGTCAGAGACAGGCAGATCCCTGGGGCTTGCTGGCCAGACGTCTTTCAGAGTTCTTCCAGTGAGAGTGGACGGCACCCTGAGATTGA